TTCACTTTTTCAGAATGGAGATTGTACTTTTGTTGGTTGTATATCTTGTGTATGGCTTTAGCATAGGTGCTTTATCGTACATTCTTCTCACGATTAGCAGCTGGTTCTTGGCTATTTCTTGGCTATTTGCACCATATTTGTTTAATCCATTTGGCTTTGAGTGGCAAAAGTAAGTTTACCTCACTATGCTTCAACACTGTATATAAGTTTTTGTGTTGTTCCATTTTAAAAGTTCATTTCCTGGCCCATTGCAGGACGGTGGAGGACTTCAGAGATTGGACAAACTGGCTTCTGTATAGAGGTGGAATTGGAGTTAAAGGAGAAGAAAGTTGGGAGGCTTGGTGGGATGAGGAGCTGGTATAGTAATTTTTCTTCTAGCTTAATGCAATCTTGCCTATTTCAGTTATTTTTTCTTATCTTCTCTACTTTCTTAACAGGCTCATATTCGAACATTAGGGGGGAGGCTGATGGAGACCATTCTTAGTTTAAGGTTTTTTATATTTCAATATGGCATTGTATACAAGCTACATTTACAGGGAGATAATACATCTCTGACGGTAGAGTTCTCACAGCTGAGCTTTCGTTCTTTATTTACTCTTCATCCATATAATCTAACTGACTTTTGCTTAATAATATGGTCAATTGATTGCTTGCCTTATTTTTTTAGGTTTATGGGTTTTCATGGATTGTATTTGCGGTGCTTTTGATCCTCTTCAAGGTTAGACCACACATATCATTGAGCACTCTGATCTCACTATGTTCCATACTAATAAATTAAAGGGTTGATTATCACGTGTACTAATATCCGTATCTATACTGCGGTTTAATAGGTGTTCACATTCAGCCAGAAAATATCAGTTAATTTCCAGTTGTTGCTGCGCTTTGTCCAAGGCCTTTCCTTTTTACTTGCACTAGCTGGTTTAGCCACTGATGACCTATCTATTGCGGAGGGAAAACCAAATTCCTCCCATTTTGGTGAGGAAAATAAGAGAAATTCATTTTATTTTCTATTTCTTCCAAATTCCTTGAACTGAACATAGTGTTCATGTTTGGTTCAAGAATTTTAAAATGGAAAAGAAAAGAAAAGAAAATGGGATGGAATTTTTTTCATGTTTAGTTAGAGTGGAAAAGAAAAGAAAATTGGAATGAAAAGACAACGAGAAGGCAAAATGAACTGAGGAGGGAGAACCAAATTCCTCCCCTTTTGGTGAAGAAAATGAGAGAAAACCATTTCCTTTTCTTTTCTAAATTCCTTGAACCAAACATAGTGTTAAAGAGTCATTCTTTCCTTGTACCTTGTTGTGCATAATAGTTTAATGCCACCTGAGTATCTGCTGAAGATTGCATGTAAAATTTAAAAGTTTAAGCTTGTCAAACCCTTACTGGGAAGAATTTTTTCGTGTTATGGCCACTTTCTTTGTCCTGTTGGCATGCCAATCGTTTTTTACTACTTAACACCGGTGTGTTTAATGTATTTATTCAGATTGCATCGGCATGATTATCTTCATCCCCATTGCATTCTTCTCCTGGTTCCCATTCCTTTCGACCTTCCAAACCCGCCTCATGTTCAACCAAGCTTTCAGTAGAGGTCTCGAGATCTCCCTTATACTTGCGGGGAATAATCCCAACACTGATTTGTGATCAAGCGCAGATAGACCCCTCCTCCCCTGCAACTTCTAGGGTCTACCATTCCTTTATTTTTGGTCTACCCTTATTTCTAGGTTGCTTCATGAATTTAGCAAACCAACAGAGTTTTGCAAGTACTATATAATTTTTCTTTTTTCATTAGCTTTGTGGCCAAATGTTGTATAAACCTTTCGTATCGATTCCTTTGAATTTGTAGTGTCTGAAATTTGTAAAAATCAAGCTCTTTTTTTGAGTAAAAGATGTGTCTTATTTTAATACGTAGTAAAATCTATGGGGCTCATGTTGTTTTTATTCTGCAGATTTTGTTTCATAGGATTGCTTTTGAACTGGTGTTTTGTTGCGTATGAGTTACGCTTTAAGGCTCGTGGTTTTGATTTTGCGTCTGTTGATTCTGATTCTCAAGCATCAAAGCGGTCTTAATAAGCTGGTGTGTTATTGTCTTATGATTTTAATTTTGAATCATTGATGATTTCATTAATTAGAACCATTTTTGGTAGTAATTAAGTGTTGAGCTCTAAACACCATTTTTTGGTAGTAATTATTGATGATTTAGCTCCCATGAACTAGACTGGTCCTTGGCATGTCTGGCTAGAGAATGGGCTACCTCACTCAAATCACATCGAAACAAAAACAAAAAGATACAATTAAACAAAAACATAATATTAGAGCAATCCTCAACTAAAACTCCAAGATAAGATGCAGAAGTATGAGTCCTATGTTGAATGGCTTGGATCACCCTCAATAGATCCAGAAATAGCTCAACATCAAGGACCCCTCTCGTTTAAGCGAAGAAAGCTTTTTTTCTAGGTGTCTTGAGAACATTGGATGTGTTAGTTAAATGCCGACTGAAAAGAGTAATCATAGCTAATTAAAATATACCCAGATCCAACATCCCATGGTCAAAGATCCCACCAACTTTCATCATTTTTCTTGATGTGGCACCTCTTGCAACTCATAGTCCAACCAGCTATGACTCATATGTAGCACCATCTGCTTTGATGCCTTTGGTGGAGAAATCTGTAGATCCCACGTTACCTTATTCCTCACCATCTAGAAAGCCTAAATATTTCATGTCAATATTTGTAATCTCTTCGATGAAAGTGTTAATGAGGAGGCTTGGAACCAGGTTGAAAAAGAGCCAACCCCCTCTCGACTCCCCCCCCTTTCCAACAAGCGTCCATACCATATCTCTAAAAGAACAACACAAAAGATATGATCCACGAACTCCCTTACTTTACAACAAATAGGGCATTTGATTATTCATCTCTATCCCCTTGCTATTAAGAGCTTCGATAGTAGGCAAAATGCCTTGAAGCGCTCTTTAAATATAAATTTTAACCTTTGGCCCCCCCACACCCCCCCCCCATTGGTAAGCCTAAACGTGCGATTTTAGCTAAGCAAGATCGCAAACACAAACACACACACACACATGGGGGGTTGGTTTGATTTTCTTGAAATAAACAAACAGCAGGAAACTATAACTAAAAGCAAGTAATCAAAAAAAGAGAACTAATAATGTCAAACACCAAAGATTGAAATCACACAACTTGAAACTCAAACCTTGTTTTTTAATTAAGAAAAGTGATTTAATGAACCTTAAGTTGTGATCATTAGCTAAGTAAGTATGTGAAAACCGGGCAACTCAAGCTAGTGAATTACTCCACTTGTTCATACTGAATAGCTAAGTCTAGAACTAGTTCTACACCTAACCCTTTCCCCTCTAACAACCCCTACACAAATTCAAAAGTTTAATTAAAATGATTTCATTAAAATAAAATAAGCACTCGAGATCTCACTACAACCTTGCAAGCAACTGAAGCAAGATTTTATAATGAAAAAAGATTAGAAGACCAAAGGGTAGAGATCATTAACTACCTGACCTAAACCCAATGTTAGAGAGTTGGTTTTACCTCTATTTCCAATTGATGTACACTCAAGAGGTCAGAACACCATTAATGATTATGCTTACTTAATTCATTCAGTTTAAATAAAATAGCATGAATCATCATTGAAAACATGCTCATCTAACCTACTACTCATGAATCCACTAAATTTGCACAATATCATGCTTCAACACATTAAATTAGGCTCACAACTCACAAACCGGACCGAAGACATCCACTACTTACTCATATCCATATCAAACAAACAATTAATGATTCAAATTTGACCAAACATAATAATAAAGAAATCCTCAACGAATGGCTCGGACCACCCTCAACGAATCCGAAAACAGCTCAACATCACGAACCCCTCTCGTCTTAAGCCAAGAAAGTTCTTTCCTAGCAAACTTCTCAGACATAATAGTGTCTTGAGAACATTGGAGGTGTTCGATAAATGCCGCTTGAATAGAGCAATCATAGCCAATTAAAGTACACCCAAACCCAACATCCCATGGCTAAAGATCCCATCAACTTTCATCCTTTCTCTTGTTGTGGCACCTCTTGCAATGCATAATCCAACCAGCTCTGACTCATATTTATCACCATCTACTTCGTTGCCTTTGGCGGAGGAACCTGTCGATCCCACTGTACCTTATTCCTCTCCATCCAGATAGCCCAAATATTCCATGCCAATATTTGCAATCTCTTCAGCGAAAGTGTAAATGAGGAGGCTTAGAACTAGGTTGCAAAAGAGCCAACCCCCTCCCGACCACCCCCTTTCCAATAAGAATCCAAACCATATCCGTAAAAGGAAAACACAAAAGATATGATCCAGGAACTTCCCAAATTTACAGGAAATAGGGAACTAATTATCCATTTTTATCCCATTGCGTTTAAGAGCCTTGATAGTAGGCAAAAAACCTTTAAACTCTCTCTAAATATAAACCTTAACCTTTGGCTCAAAAGGAAAATCTTGTTAACGCCCCCAATTGATAAACCTAAACGTGTGATTTTCCTCACACATAAGCCATCTATACCCATCTTTACCTGAGTATTTCCCCTAAGCATCACCTTGCCAATACTAATAGTCCCGATAAAGCTCAAGGGGAATGCTACAAGTTTGCTCAATCTCACATTATTCCATTTTAGAATTAAGCATTTTAATATTTCACGTACTTATATGTCTGTCAATGATACTCCGTATTTTTATTTTTAAACGGCGGTTTAGCTTTTCCCAATATTGCTTTTCTTTTTATACGGATTACTTTCCCCATAAGCTCTCTCCAATCGATGCGACCGAACAGTTCATTTTCCACTATAGCTTTTTTATACTGATTACTTTCCCCATAAGCTCTCTCCAATCGATGCGACTGAACAGTTCATTTTCCACTGTAGCTTTTTCATACTGATAACTTTCCCCATAGCTCTCTCCAATCGATGTGACCGAACAGTTCATTTTCCACTGTAGCTTTGAGCGGGAAATGTTACTGTTCATTTTCTCCCTTTATATTAGTAGATATAGAGATAGAGATAGAGATTGGCGACCCAATTTCCAACCCGGACCCAGACCAGAGCTTTGATTTTTGATCAAGATTGGACGCATAGCAGGAGCCAGCAGCCTCTTCATCGACGGAAGCCAACATCCTCGTCGGCGACCCTCAACAGCGGCGACGGACAGACTGGCGACCAACAGTCCCTGCTCCAGACCTGCACAGCCGACTATTGTCAACATCCACACCAGAAGCCGAAACTAGAAATTGCAGCCCAGCTCCCTCCAGGCCAGCGACGACCTCCGGCGAGCTTGCAATGGCGACCTCCGGTGAATTCCTGGGTTGTGGCTGACGCGGAATGCAGAGCAGAGGCACTGGCTACAGATCCAATCACATTTAAAGTGTGAAATTCCATATTTGCACTTGATTCTTTTCCTTCCTTATTTTCTACTCCCTCCATCCTAAAACTTTCTTTCCGGTTCGCAAAACGAAGAAAAATCCCAAGTTTTTTCAATATATTTTATTTAAATATTGGTATAGAAATAAAAAAATAAAACATGCATATTTAAAAACTACATCAAAATTTTAACAAAACAAGTGGTGACAAGAATATTTTATTTTAGGAAAAATTGATATAAATACTCCCAAAAATTTGAAATTTTACAATAATACTCCCAAATTTAATAAAAGACTCTGGTGCTCCCAATTAAACTATAAGTTTACATTACTACTCCCACTATGCCTAATCAGCTTTTCTTATATTTACATGTAAGTAATTATGCTTAGTTGTCATCTTAGTTGTTTTTTTTTGTTTTAATAAGAGGAAAAAA